TTCTTTGGTTTGATGTATTAACAAGACTGATGATGGAAGCTACATTTTGATCAGTATAAACAGACACCCAAACCCTAATACAATACTAGAGATGGAAGCTACATTTTGTTCAGTGAACTCAATTCTCTGATTGGGAATCAATTCGAGGGTTCCCGATCTAACAAGCGAAAATTGTTATATTTCAAGTCATATAACTTCAAACGTAATTCTTTCGCTTGTTAGATCTTGCGTTCCTTCGTTTGATTCATAATAATAGACCCTGCCTTTGGTTTTTTTGTAGATTTTTACTCCCTCCGTCCATAAATAAACTTTCTATTGCGCATTACAACGTTTGATTGAAGTTATTTTTAAATCTATTTATATGAAAAATGGTGTAAATTTTGAAAATAAATAATACATATTAAAAAAGTATATTAAAAGATCTTCAAAACTAGAGGTGACATGACCATATTATTTTTTCAAATGGGTGATGAAAATAGGTCAACAAAGTGAACAAAGTTTGATACGTGAATAGTGAGCGAGAAGTTTATTTGTGGACGGAGGGAGTTTTTATTAATATTAGTTATAAAGATTCAAAACATTTTCTCCCTTTCTACTAAAATTTGTTCTTTTGCTTGGAAAAATTAACTTTCAACTTTTTCCTACTCATTCACATTTCTTCCAACAACGACCTAAAAAACCTATTTACGACTTAAAAAGGGTATTTACATTGAGAAAGGAGTTTAATGGCATGGAGGCTAGTTGAGTGAAGGAGGAAGGAGGGGTATTTTGTAAAAGTCAACTATATTTTCACTTTACCTAAATCTGTGTGTCCAGTCAAAGTGGGGTAGTCTAATTTTGGACGGAATGAGAATATATAAACACTATATATTCCAATTAACAGCATATCACCTCAAACACGAATAAGAATGAATTCATTTTTTTTCAAAATTAGAGTTTTAATTTGTTACATATTTAATTAAATGATCATTGGCGTATGCACATTCCACACAAAAATGTTTGCCCCTTATGAAATTTGTTCCCCCCCCCCCCCCCCCGACGTCTTAAACAATTGGTAGTCCGCAAGTGAAAAATCATCTTTAAAATTGAAATTGAAAGTAAGATATTTAAAATATGATAATTGAGTTAAGTTATAATGTACTTTACAAATTATATTTTTCCATTTTAAAAATATTTCATTTCACAATTTCAATACTAACTCCCTCCTTTCCAATGAATTTTGTTTAGGTTGTCATTTTTAGAGTCAAGTTAAGCAAATTTTATAATCAATTATATAAAAATTAAAATGTTTACTCATAAAATAATATAATAGTTTTCCAAGTTCCCGTGCTATTTAGAGATTAAGATTTTGAAGCTTTACTATTTTTTCCTTTTATATAATTATTTCGAATCAACAGATAATTATTTTTTATATAAATAAATACATACATATAAATAAATACAATTACTATGTATATAAATTGTACTCAATATTACAATAAAGAGCATATTATGCGGGATATGGGTCATTACTAGCTAGCCTTAGATGCACATTAAGCATGGGGTGCACAAAAGAGTTCCGTGCACTAATCTAACAGACTTGATATATTTTACAAATCATTTTTATATAAGACATCACCATAAATAGGATTAAAATATATAGAAAATACTAAAATAAGAGTTTCATATTTTTATTGCGTAAATAAGATTTCACACTGTGGTAATGTGACAATATACATATACATTTTACTTTACTTTTTGGTAATGTAAACGATCATGATTTATAATTTAAATGCATTTTAACTCCTCTTTTAGGAATAAAAACATTAAACTCTTATTTTCGTATATTTTCAATGTTTTACTCGTAGCTTAGTCTTTTTTCCTTTTTTTACCCATATGAAATGTACTACGTAATTTTTATTTAATTGATGATCAAAATTTTCCTGGTTTACTTCCAAAGAGTCGACTGAACAATTTTTGTGTCATAAATTATGTTTTTTGTCAAATTACTTCTCTAATCAACAAATTTTATTATACTCTAAATTATATTCCCAAAAAATTTTGAAATTGGTGATGTAATATTTGTTTTATACGTTATTTGGAACATTAGAGTTGTGCAAGATATGATTAGAAATGTAAATCTAGATGTTGAGTATGAAATAATTGTGATTTCTCAACTAATTAGAAGTATTAATTATTATTATTACCCAAAATGGATATGGAATTTGGCCTATGAAATGGGTTAGGATCCGAATGAAAAAAGGGGCATTCCTTCACTTCTTTGGTTTGATGTATTAACAAGACTGATGATTATAGGAAATATACTCTGTTCTGGAAGACACTCACTCCCACACCGGAGAAACACAAACACCCAATCCCTAATACAAAACTGGAGATGGAAGCTACATTTCGTTCAGTGAATTCAATTCTCGGATTGGGAATCAATACGAGGTTTCCTGATCTAACAAGTGAAAATTGTTATGTTTCAAGTCATATAACATCAAACGTAATTCTTTCGCTTGTTAGATCTTGCGTTCCTTCGTTTGATTCAGAGTAACAGACCCTCCGTCCCTTTGGTTTTTTTACAGCTTTTTACTACCTCCGTCCATAAATAAACTTCCCGTTGCGCATTACAACATTTGACATAAGTTATTTTAAAATCATTTTATATGAAAAATGGTGTAAATTTTGAAAATAAATATTACGTCTGGTGCGCATCTGGTGGTGGGTTGAGGGCTGAGAGGGGCAGTGTGAAATTGAATAAAAATTCGGTGGGGCGAAGAGGAAATTTGTAGGGTGTGGCAAGTAAGGGGTGTGATCAGTTGAGCATTGTGAAGGAAATTAAGGAGATAAAGGAAAAGCAGGCTGCACAAGACAGAAAACTAGATGAAATTTTGGGAATTCTTTGACTAAAATCTGCATCTGTTGCGGCTGGGTCAGCATTAGGGAAAACGTCATTGATGGGGGGTAATGAGGAAGTTAAAGTCCAGATGGATGATCGTAATGGTGAGGGAAATGCAGAGGCCAGAGTAAAATGCGGAGATAATGACGAAATGAGTTTTGACGCTGGGGGGCCATCGTTCGATCTTCTAACTCCAATGCCGAAAGTTGATGCCGCCGGTGATGACAATCCAAATGCCAACAGTGGTAATGTGTCAGTGACAAAGGCCTGTGATGCTGAAAAGGAGAGGAAGTGTGTTGAGATTCCCTTCACTGAGACGCAGTATGATCCTCGTGTTAGAATAATAGACCAACGCTAGAGGGGGGGTGAATAGCGTTTGATCGTAGAAATCATAGCAATTAAAAATTTAAGAGAAAGTAAAGAAAAGAGTAAGAGGCACACCGAATTTTACCCTGGTTCACCACAACTTGTGGCTAATCCAGCCTCCCGAGAGACTCTCTCGAGCTACACTACTATCTAGTTAAGCTTAATGGTGCTTAACAAACCCTTACAACTTGAGAGTTCGAGTCACATGAACCTCAACGAATCCTTCAAAGGAAACAGCCCTTCCTTTGAATCAACCGAGAGAAATACTTTCTCTCAACGTGTCTAAGAACACAAATACACTCAAGAAAGACACTCTCTTATAGAGTAGATTATGAGTAAACTAAGTACGCTCAAGAACAACTCAACCTTCACACAACTTGGCTCTAGAAAGCTATGGAAAATGATGTTATTTGAATGCAATGAAAGTATGAATATTGTGAAGTGAATTGGTGAGAAAAGCAGACCCAAACACCCCTTTTTATAGTGCCAAAATAGGCTCCAACGGGCCAATGCATTAAAGGGGTGATTAGCTTGATCTATGGGATTGAAAAGATTTGGGATCTGCAGAATATTGGCTTCCCATCGATGTTTGGGACTTACCCATCGCTGGTAAGCCCATTTTCCTTCAGTTTTGAATTCAACGGTTGCCTACCCATCGATGGGTACAAGCTTCCCATCACTGGGTGGGAGGTTGACTTCCAAACAAGGAAAGAATCAACCTTAAATGACCTACAACGGTCATCCCTTCCCATCGATGGTTTAGCCTTACCATCGCTGGGCAAGGTTGTTCTGCCTTGTAGTAATGTTGCACCGAGGCTTTAACAGCGATGGGTAGAACTTCCCATCGCTGTTTGGCATGGTTCTGGAAGTTGGTTTGGCTAAGGGACCGCTTACCCATCGATGGGAAGATCTTCCCATCGCTGGGTGGATGGTTAGCCAAAAACCCAATGGTTTTTGCCTTAGCCACGGCCTAGCCGACCAATGCAAAAACCGACCGAAAAATCCAAAGTTCTCCAAGATAAAAACCAAGTGGTTAAAACACTTATTTGATGTATTTGGCAAAGAAATAAAGTGAGACACTTTAAAAACCACATCATTTGAGTGAAAACCACGGCTAGCAAAGTTTACGCCGTTTTGAATGATTTTTATCAAACGACCAAAAGCAAAAGATGGTTTTCAAAGTGTTTTTGTTGGAGAACCGTTTAAACATGCCAAAGAGTGAAAATCAATCATAAAAGGTTGAAAACCACTCGGTTGGTTCGGACGCCAAAAACCAATGCTGATAACCGAGAGCCGAACGCCGGTTTCTGAAACCCGAACGCTAGATGGCTTGGTTTTTGGTTTGGGCGAACACCAAGTGTTTTTAATGATTTAAAAATGTTTGAAAAACATTTTTATGATGTGATAAAATGCAATAAAAGATTTTAGCCTAAAGAGCAAAGGTGTAAAGATTGGGTCGGTCTTGATCACAATGAAGACCGACTCAATGACACTAAAACTATGGTCTTCGTTCTTGGTCTTCTTTTAGCTCTTCTTCTTCTCTTCATTCTTCGCCTTGTATATTCAATGTTTGAATTGATCACGGCGGTTTGGCATTATCAAAACCTGTCATAAAAACAAACACGGCTTTAGTACGAAAACGTGACAAGCCCGTGTTTCAACAATTTCCCCCTTTTTGATAATGGCAAACGAGATGAGGTTATGCATATGAAAAAATGTTCACCCTTAATAGATGCCATTTTATTTTAAAAAAAAATTCCCCCTCAATTTATGCATAACCTTGATATCTTCCCCCTTTTGACATTAACAAAAAGAATTAAAAGTGAACTTTTAGAATTTAAAAGTAAACTTTTATTCATTAAAAGAGGAGAACATTCGGAATACAACGGAATTGAAAAAGATAAAAAAAGCAATTAAAGTAGGGAAGAAGGAAGAGTCTAGGCAGCGGCGTCCTTGTCCTCGTCCTCGCCGTCATCGTCATCCTCGTCGTCCTCAACATCCATGGGATCCCTGTCGACCGCGTCCTCAAAGTCGGCTTCGTCGGGGGAGGAGGACGGAGCATAGGAGTTATCCTCCTCGTCCTCGCCTTCATAGTTTTGGCCGAGGAAGGTGGTGTTAAAGGGCGGCGGGACGTAGTTGATGCCGCGGAAGAACGCCCTCATGTCGTGGTGTTGGCGTTGCAGCGTCCAGTCCATCCTCTCTAGGTACTGGCCCATTCCATCCACGGTGATGGTTAGCCGATTCAGGGTATCAGCTATGGACTGTAAGGAGGCCTTGGCGGGAGCTGGGGCTGGAGCCCGACTGGGTCCTGTGGCAATTCTGTCACCGGACTTCTTCTAGAAGGTGCTGTCTTGGATGATCCAAATCTTCGTCATCTTCGTGTCCGGGCCGGCGATGTGGATGTCGGAGGTAACAATGAGATCCATGACGAGGAAGGCGTATGGCAAGCTCCGCTCGGTGGTGATGGAGGCGCAATCTGCCATGTGAATCATGACGTATTTTGCCCAATTGATCGAGGCGCCATGGGTGATAGCATGAACCGCCTTGAGATCCTCGTTGGAGAGACAGGTGTGGCTACTGTCCCGGGGGCGAAGAATCTAGGTGAGGATGTAGAGTAGAAGATGGTTTTCCAGCGGGGCTAAGTGGATGGTTGGTGCGCCGCTGTGACGGATGAGGTTGGTGATTCCAAGCTCTTGGATGACCACCGCCTCGTTGTTGAGAATCCAATCATCGCCACCATATGTCGCGATGTCGTCACCGCGAGTGGGCAAGCCTGCAACCCGAGCAAAGGTAGCCAAATCAAACTCTAATTCGTAGAGATTGATGCTACTGCGAATAGTGTCCCCATCCCGGCGGAGATTGGAGTAGAAGGCCCGGACATAGGCGGGATTGAAGGAGGTGCAGCTCTTGGAGACGAAGGGCCACAAAACCGACTTTTTGAGTTGATTGTCGAGGTCATGGTATCCCTTTTGCTGAGGAAACAACTCGGGCAGCACTCTTGGCGGAGAGATACGGCGTTTGGCGAAGTGGGTGATGAATCGAGTAAGTTCTTCCTCCGAGCCAAATTCGAGGAAGGATCCGTCCAGGTACGGAAACGGCTGGGGCGCAGAGGACGTTGCTTCGACGTTGGTCTTCTTCTTCGAAGCTTTGCTCTTGGACTTTCCTCCGGCCATTGAGACAAAAGAGAGAAAAATATGAAGAAGGGGTACATACCTCTTGTACTTCGTCGACGTGGTCTTCGTGTGCCATGAGACAGAGGTTGGCGGCTTCTTCCTCTTCTTGATCCGTTGACTCATATCCGGAGTCGGCACCCCATGAGATGTAGCCGCGTTGCTTTTTGAAACCAGGTTTGTCCTTGCCGCTTTTGCCTTTTGGACACCTCGGCTTGATGTGGCCTATCTCACCGCAGCCATAGCACTTCGGGGGTCCATCATTCTTCCTACCTTTGCGCTGAAATTCCTTCTTCATAAATTTGTGGAATTTCTTGATGACGAGTCCGAACTCGTTGTCATCATCGCTTGAGTCTTCTTCCACGGTCTCCTTGGTTGCTTTCAGTGCTATTCCCTTCTTCTTTTGTTCATCCAAAGACGGGGTTAAAATAGTAGATTCATAAGTTTTGAGGTTACCTCTTAGCCCGTCGATGGTGACATTGGAGACTCCGATGGATTCGTAGATTGCGTCAGCCTTTGATCTCCATTCGGGTGTGAGACTGCGCAGGATTTTCCTCACAAGGTCTTTGTTGGCGTACGTCTTTTTGAGAGCGTGAAGGTCGTTGATGATCTTTCAGAAACGATCGAACATGTCATCGATCTTTTCGCCTTCCTTCATTCTGAACATCTCGTATTCCTGCGTCAGAAAGTCAATTTTGGCTTCCCGAACTTGGTCCGTACCTTCATATGTGACTTCCAGCTTGTCCCACATTTCTTTGGCAATGGTGCAGCAAGAGATCTTGCGATAATCATCTGGGTTGACTGCGCAGTACAGCATGTTGATCGCCTTGGCGTACTTCTCTACCTTTTTGATGTCCTCGGCATCAAATTCGTCCTCGGTCTTTGGGACGAGTTTTTCACCGACCTTCTTCATTGGAATTTCTTCGCCATTTTTGATGACCAACCACAACTAAAAGTTGGTTGAGCGGATATAAATTCTCATCCGCTCTTTCCAGTATGTGTAGTTGGTGCCATCAAAAAGCGGTGGCCTAGAGGTTGATTGACCTTCTCCAATTCCTGCATAAAGATTTCTAGAAGAAGAACCCATGATCGCTTTACTCTCAAATGGTTAAGTTTGGACGCGAGTTAGTCTCCGATACCAATTGTTAGAAAAATTGTTGGGAAAAATATTATAGATTTAGATGATGATGTATTTAGAATGTAATAGGGACTTTAGGTCTCCACCAATATTCAATGTAATTTTTCTTTTTAGAAATATTGTTAAAACCGAGTTCTTGAGATTTCCAATAAAGTTGTGATATTTCTTTAAGCAGTTTGATGCCTGAAGACTTAATCAAATTCAGTGATTTGGAAATTGGATATCTTGATCGGAAATGTCAGAGACAAGTAAGGATTTCTCAAAGCGGACGAAAATCCTCCAATCCGGAAGACTACATGATAACCGGATGTCTCGCTACATTCCGCTGAAAGCTAAGTCATCCAAGTCGGAAGACTAGCGCGGATCTCTTTCTCACCCAGAAGACTGAGAATGACTCTTCCGGATTTGTCAGCTAAGAACCGGATGCCTCAAGAAAGACCGGAACTCTCAAAAGCGGACAAGTGAGAAAAGACTTAGAAAATTATCTAAGTCTTGAATGAAGAAATTCTACTCGTTGGTATGGAAAAATCAATCTCTTGATTTTCAACGGCTAGATTGAAGATAATTATGTTGATTCAAGAACAAATGACTCGAAGACAAAGTCTGGACCTCTAAAATTGAAGAGCCTGTCCAGAATTCATAAACAAGCACTAGAAGACAAACAGAGTAAAGTGCTACAGTCCAGAAATCTTGAACAACAGCTAGAAGACGGATTCTATGGAAAAAGGAATCCCTCCTCAAACAATTGGGTATGTCCAAACACCCATTCCAACGAGGAAACTTCAAATCACAATCTTCATTCAAAATTGAAGCCAGCAAATGCAACGGATAGTCTATTGTGATTCAACAGATAGATTATCTAATCCAGCTATAAATAGCATCCTTGGAAGACTGGAGAAAAAAAACACAACCCATGAGATAGAAAAACATAACAACACAACGAAGCAATCTCTAACAACAAAGCTATCTCATTCACAGTTAGCCCAAAGAGCTTGATAAAGAGAGATTTCTAAACTCCTTATCCATAAGCAAACTTCTCCTCCTTCCAAAGAGCTATAGTGTAAACACTTGAAGGTTTCCTTTCCTCAAGTACCACACCACGTTGAAGGATATAACTTTTGATCAAACTTCTTGATTAAAAGGGGGTAGGTCAACTTTCTTACAAGTCCTATTGTTCAGACCTTGCAGTTGTTGAAGAAGGTGACCTTCGAAGGAACAACAAAGCCAGCACGAGTGCAGTAGAAACATTGGCCTTGCGAAGATATACCGTGCAGAAATTCACACAAGTGTAATTGTTGGTTCATTATTCAACAACCACATAGTGGATTTTGAGGACGTAGAAGGATTACCCCACCTTCGAACCTCGTTAAAGTGTGCGTGTCTCTCTCTTTTATCTTTATTCTTACTTGCAATTATAATAACTCTGAAAACTAACCCATCCATATTGATTACTGCTCACTCTACCCACCAAATTCCGCACACAATCTAAAGTTCACAAGAACTCTAGATTAACACTCATTTTCACGTTTTCAAAAAGAAATGAAAAAGTTTTTAAATTTGTAACAAAGTCTATTCACCCCCTCTAGACTTTGTATCTCACCACTTTGAGACCACCAATTGGTATCGGAGCCAACTTCTCACTATCTACGCTTAGATTAACGAGAAGCGATCATAATGGTGAACAATATGGATCATGGTTTGCCCAAGTTTTCTCTTCTAGGTTATGATGATTGGAAGATCATGATGGAAGCACATCTCTACGCTCTACATGATTGCATGTGGATGGTGCTTGAGGATGGACCCTTGAAAATCCAAATGGAGAATCCTGAGAGGAATCCAGAAGCTCCTGATGTAGTCCTGTACATTCCAAAGCCCAAAGAAAAATGGGATGATAGAGATTGCAAAAAGCACAATCTGGACAACGTCGCCAAAGCAGCCATCTTCAAGACACTTGATCCCATCACCTTCTCTAAGATCAAGCATCTCAAGACTGCCATGGAGATATGGCAAGGTCTTGGGAAGCTATGTGAGGGATCAGAGGACTTGAGAAAGCAGAAGATAGAGGTCCTGCTTGAGAAGTTCAAAAGCTTCAAAATGCTTCCCGGAGAATCATTTGATATGTTGGACGAAAGATTCCACAAAATCTTGAATGATCTTGCATCACTTAACCATGTTCTTTCTCCCAAGGAAAAGAATGTAAGGTTACTGAGATCACTTCCAACCGAGTGGTACACCAAAGCCACAGCCATGGAAGAAGGAAGAAACCTGGAAAACTACACTGTCCAAGGTCTCCTTGATGAGCTCAGAACCTATGAGCACGAGCTGAAGAAGAAGAAGGAAGAACAAGTCACTCCCTTCCCCACGGCATTGATGACAACTCCAAGAGTCCCATCAAGTGAAGGGACATGCACAAGAAACTGTGACACACCTTCCTCCAGCCATCCGTCAAGATATAAAAATAGAGAACTACGATGAGGAATTTGCCATGATGGTCAAGCAATTCCGGAAGTTCAAGAAGTTCTTCAAGAAGGTTGACTCAATCAGAAGGCCATCCAAGAGAAAGCCACAGGTAAGTGACTCTCCTCCTGAATCCTATTTGTGTTATAACTGCAGGAAGCCTGGCCACTGGAAGTCAGCATGCCCGTACCCAAAGGTGGAGAAGTACGGAGAAAGAGAGAGGAACGAGAAGAAAAAGAAGGCAATGGTTGCTGCTGAAAGTGACAAGTCATCCAGCTCAAGCTCGGATGAAGAAGCCCTCGTTTGCATGGAGCGCAGAGTTGAGAAGTCCAACCATGAGGATAGGTGGACTATGTCAGAAGATGACACTCTCTGCCTAATGGCCAAAGATGATGCTAATCAAGAGGTAACTTCACAAACCTCCTGCTCATCTTCTTATGAAAGCATACCAACTTCTGAAAATCTTTTTGACCAGTTCAAAAAGATGATGGAAGATTTTGAGGAAATAAATCGCAAACATTCATCCTTAACAGAGGAGAACAAACTATTGAGTGAAGAGAATCTCAAGTTGACTGAAGGTCGGAAAAGTCAACTGGATGAGATCCCTCAACTCAAGACTGAAAATGAATCTCTCTCTGAAAGGGTGAAATCCCTTAACAAGGAGCTAGGGATACTTAAGTCCAAAGAAGCAGTGGATAAGCTTCTTGAAACGACCAAACATAAGGGTCGTGAAGGACTTGGGTTTGACCCCTCTAGTTCTAAAAAGAAAGGGAGAACAACTTTCATCCCTCCTAAACCTACTGCCAAACCAAATAAGCAGAAAGGAAAGGAAAAGGAGAAACCAACAGAAGTTCCCAAAAAGGTAGTCCCTCCTAAGAACTATAGGAAGCTGGACAGACCTCAAAGAGGAAATAATTTCAGAAGAAAACCTACTAACCCCCACTATACACGAGGCTATACTCATTATGGGGTAGATAGGAGTTTTCCAAGAAATTCTGAGTGGAGAACTATGCCAAGATATAGTCATTCTCCACCCCAGAAACTAATTGTGCCACCTAAGTATGCTTATAACCGTCACAGGTCACACTATGCACAACCTAGACAAAACTATAGGTCTTACCAACCTAGGTTTGCTAGGAGGAAACAGGAAATTGCACCTCCTGCACGTAGGAAGTTTTATGCCGACAACTATGATTACAATCCCAACAAGTTTAGAGCTGCAAGGAAAATTCCCTGCAACTTCAAACTTGATGTAGGGACACACACCATTAACTATTCTGGACCCAAACTTAATTGGGTACCAAAATCTTCCTCCTCCTAATGTAGGAAGCCGCTAAGTACCCAGGTGTCTGGTACTTAGACAATGGTTGTTCAAGACACATGACGGGTGATGTGAGCCTTTTGAGCAATCTAATTCCCTATGATGGTCCAAGAGTTACTTTTGGAGGAAGCAATGATTTTGGCCTGACTAAAGGGCTAGGAAATCTGGTGTACAAGGGACTAACCATCCAAGCTTTATCTTATGTTGAAGGTCTCAATTACAACCTTCTTAGCATAAGTCAGTTTTGTGATAAAGGTTACTCCTTGGAATTCTGCAAGGGCATGGCATCTCTCAAGAACATCTCCACAAATGAAGTCATTCTCACTGGGAAGAGAATCAGAAACATCTATGAAGTGATGTGGGACAATGTCAAGGAAGCATGTCTAATCAGCAAAAGTGACACTAACCTATGGCTTTGGCATAAGAGGTTGAGTCATCTCAACTTCAAAACTCTCAACAAGCTGTCCAAAGAAGGGTTAGTAGAAGGTCTTCCCAAAGATGTATTCAGGAAGGAAAGCATTTGTGATGCTTGCCAGAAAGGAAAGCAAGTCAAGTCTACTTTCAAGGCAAAACCGGCACCCTCAACTACAAGGATATTAAGTCTTATTCACATAGACTTATTTGGCCCTGTTACACCAATAAGTCTAAGTGGAAAAAAATATGTCCTGGTGGTAGTTGATGATTACTCAAGATACACGTGGACAATCTTCCTCAACAGCAAGAAGGAAACTCAAGGGAAACTCACTAACTGCATGAAGCTGATTCAAAACCAAGCAAGTCAGACCATTCAGAAGATCAGATCTGACAAAGGCACAGAATTCCTGAATGAAATCATCATTCACTACTGTGAAGAAAACGGAATTCTTCATCAGACATCCGCAGCAAGGACGCCCCAACAGAATGGTGTAGCTGAAAGAAGAAAAAGAACCTTGAAGGAAGCAGTGAGAACCATGCTAGCAGAAGCTTCCTTACAAAAGAGGTTCTGGGCTGAAGCTGTTAACACGGCTTGCTATACTCAGAATAGGAGTATGATTTATAAAAGGCACAACAAAACTCCCTGTGAACTATGGAACGGGAGAAAGCCTAATATATCATATTTCCATATTTTTTGGGAGCAAGTGCTTTGTGTTAAACAATGGGTAGAATCATCTGAACAGTTTTGATGAGAAATCAGATGAGGCCATCTTCCTAGGATATTCCATGGTGAGCAAGGCATTCAGAGTCTTCAACAAAAGAACCATGATTACTGAAGAGTCAATACATGTTATTTTTGATGAAAAACATGTGGTTGACAAGCCATTAAAGCATGATCATGAGGTTCTGGATCTATTAGACAAGGATGAAGAAGTCAATGAAGGAGATAGAATGAAGCCCACGGAGTTCATTCCATTCAGAAGTCTACCACTGAAGACTTCACAGAGAAATCCGGATTCAGACAGTGCTAAGCCTACCGTAAATTTTGGCCAGCCTTCCAATATTCCGGATCACTCAAAGGGAGACAATTCCGGAAATGGCGACCCAGTGCCAATCCATCCAGAAACACCAACAACTTCTGTTCTTCAACTAGAAGCTGAACTAGATCAACTAGTCAATCCCAATCAACACAATCTTCGTTGGTTAAGGGATCCTCCTCCTCAACAGATCATTGGAGATATTCAATCTGGCGTTCGCACAAGGAGTGCCCAACAGAATCTAGAAGCTATGCTTGCTTGTTTCATCTCACAAGTGGAACCAAAGAATATTGAAGAAGCTCTAGCTGATTCTGATTGGATCAATGCAATGCAAGAAGAACTCAACCAATTTTCCAGAAATGACGTCTGGAAACTTGTTCCCAGACCTACTCATCAACATGTCATTGGGACAAAGTGGGTCTTCCGGAACAAGATGGATGAAAA